TACATACATATCTCATCATCCGCATTTTATGTCTCTTGGCTCTTTGTAGCCCAAAAGAAAAAGCCCACACACATGACTAGTAGTAATCAGTCGATCTTCCTGCATACTTTCCTCCTTCAGTGGTTCATGTGAAATTGCAGGAATAGAGGGAGCAAGAAGACAAAGGTGGAAATCTGTTGTCGAAGGCTTTCATGGCTGGAATCACAGGATTGCTGCGAGTTTTCCAGGCTGTATGGCCATGTTCCAGAACCATTCTTTCCTGATGTTTCACCCACATCTATGGCAGGCATCCTCAGAGGTTGTGAAGTCTGATGGAAACTCGACAAGTGGGGTTTATATATCTGTGGAAGGTCCAGTGTGGGAGAAAGGACTCTTGTCTTAGAGCTAGGTATAAGTGTTTCAGTTGGCCACCTTGATTAGCATTGAATAGCCTTGCAGCTTCAAAGCCTGTCTGCTTCCTGCCTGGAAGAATCCTTTGTTGGGAGGTGTTAGCGAGTCCCGATTGTTTCCTGTGTGGAATCCCCCTGGTTTTTTAAGTGTTCACCTTTATTTACTGTCCTGATTTTAGAAGTTTTTTTTAATACTGGTAGCCAGATTTTGTTTTTTTTTCATATTTCCTCCTTTCTGTTAAAATTGTATAGTGTTCAATGGCTACGCTGTGTAGTCTGACATAGTGGCTGTTAGAATGTTCCAGCATCAATTGATGCTGGAACAAGATGGCATCGATGACTGTTTAATATGTAAATATTTCAAAGCTTAAGCCTGGCTTTGGCTGGAAACTAGGTGTGGTTAGGTCAATTTGCAGACGAGATCAAAGTCCATTTGTTTTGCGGACGTGTCAAGAAGATAGGCATACAGAACCCATAATGGCTGGTGAAATTCAGACTCCTCAGTGCTAGTCTAGCCACAACAGGAGCAGGCCTGCATATTTGGTTTGCTTGTCTGTTCTGTCAACTTGTAAGGCTGGGAAAATAATGAGAAAGAGGAAGGGTTGACTTGTCCCCCTATGTTATGTCACTTTAAATCTTTAGCTGGTGGGTCAACTAATGGGCCAACTAATGGGCCAACTTGTTTCAGGTCTAAGTTTGGAGGAAAAAAGATCAAACAACAGGGAAAGAATTGGTGTTCATGCTCCTCCCCATATGTTCCTTTTCATAAAAATTATTGATGTATCTCACCCCCACTTTACATGTGGACAGGACAAATCTATGGGTGGCAGCCACTTCCCGTCCAGTATTTTTAGAGTGATGGCTGTTTCATTCAAAGGCTGTAATTCTTTGTATCTAAAGATGAACTGGCAATCAGGAGTTATATCAGGATAATGTTATGACGGCACTCCATGCAGTCATGCCGTCCACATGACTTTGGAGGTGTCTACGGACAACGCTGGCTCTTCAGCTTAGAAATGGAAATGAGCACCAACCCCCAGAATCGGACACAATTGGACGTAATGTCAGGGGAGAACCTTTACCTTTACTTACCTTAATGTTAAGATTGGGTTAGTTGAATAATGCTGTTGAATATATCCATATTACTCAAATAATAGCATTTGATTCTATTTCCAACCACTGTGTTTTCAATTGATGGAATCCTGGGATGTGTAATATAGGATAGCATTTCAAATTCTCCAGTGTATCACCAAACTAGAAAGCTGAGACTCCATAGGATGTAGCTGTGGCAGCTAAAGCAGAATGTAGAGCTGTCTAGTGCTCAGAAAGTGTGACTGGTCCAAATTCACCTGTTGTATTTTATCATTCAGTGAGTATTAGCACCTAGGTTTCCTAAGTCAAATCCTCTAATTACTATACAACAGTAGCTAAAAGTTTTTTAAAAAAAATCAGTAAAAAAGTTTTAATAAATCATTATAGAAGGTGGAAGAAAAATGCAAGTAGTAGTGCTTGAAGGTGCCTTCTGAGTTGAGTTGCCTTTATCATGCATTGGCACTGCATTTTCAAGGTTTTTTGCTGCTAGATTTCCCATTTCCATCTTAATGGGCATTACATCATTATTTGGCCCCGGGATAAGATGTCTCTCTACTCCAGTGGTTTTCAACCTGTAGGTCCCAAAATGTTTTGGCCTTCAACTCCCAGAAATCCTAACAGCTGGTAAACTTGACTGGGATTTTTGGGAGTTGTAGGCCAAAACACCTGGGAACCCACAGGTTGAGAACCACGCTCTACTCCTAAGCATGGGATTAGCCCTTAAAAAAAAAAAGACTTTGGCTGATGAATTATCTCAATAATCTGTATTTTGGGAGCATGTTTTCTATTATATATTGCTTTTCGAAGAATGTTTGGATGTTGTATTTTGAAGAAACTGCAGGTCTTTTTTTAAGAAAAGAAAATAACACAAAAGCTGAACATTTAAGGAATGCTAAAAAAAGTTTCATGTGCTGAATACTGTCCATCTGTGACTAGAAATGGCTCTTATCCCAGGCTAGCACTAAAGATTGGCATCACTGTCAGTCTGCAGAGCATAACTGGGCACCCCATAATGGAGTCCAGTGATGAGAACGTTCTGGACCTCTTCCTCTTCCTTGCTGTTTCAGCCTATATCTTCATCCTCTTCTTGCTGTGGCAAAGATAATGGTGGTTGTACAAAAGTGGAGTAAGAGATGCCACTAATTATTTGGCTTGTGAGTCTTCTACCTGGTAAGCAAGCAGGTGTCGCAATGTTGAGGGAAGAGGAGAAATGGCATCAGCAGATGGCAACTAGGTCGGTGAGAAAATGCTCACTAGAAAAGGTATCTTGCATAGAGTCCTCCAAAGCAGAAGCTAGTGCTGATTATCATACGATACCAAACTATGGAAAATTAGTGTATTTACTTTTCCTGTACTGTATGGGTCAGTTAATCACTTAATTAATTTCCATGAGCATATGAAATTAGCAATCAAGAAGTACTGTGATTAAGGTAGTTGGCTTTGTAAAATTCTATACTAAAGTTGGTGTAGAACCAACTGGATTCCCCATTTCCCTTTTATTCCTTTCCTTCACCTTTTTATCTGCAGTATGCAACGTAAAGCATTTCAGCAAAGAGATCTGTGTTGTGCAATATTATTTCAACAATGACATTATAGAATGTGACGTTCTTACATTACATTTCCAGGTAAAAATACAGCCAGTTCATCTTTCTATCTCTTTCTATTGCAGGGCTAAATTATACTAATAGGTAATATGATGGACTATCCATCTAATATCAGCATGTGAAGATGGCTACTACAGATTCACAGGTGTATTGTGTGACATTGACAACACAAAATATGGGAGGATTTTTGTTGCAGCTGGGCATGGGTCAGGGAGCAGCTGGGACCTTTGAGAAGCCTTGACTGTGCAGTGTCACCGCTGATGATGGAAAACATTGCAAACAATCTTAGAAATATGGTTGCAGTGATGGAAGTAAACTGGAATTCTTTATGCAAAATTTCCCAAAACACTAATATAAGAACATACTACAGGAGAAATCATGCTTGTATTTTGAATGTTGAATTGCACAGCATGAATGCTGTTGAATTTTGAAGATTGTATGTTGAGTCGGGGGGGGGGGGCTCAGCCGCCCTCAGTTCCGTCCCCCCGTCCCCCCCCCGGGATTGAGAAGGACGGGGTACAAATATCTGAACTAAATATCTGAAATAATTCTTGTTTTTTTCTTATATACCACAATAAACATTTATACAAAAAAATCCCTAATATAAGAATATACTTAGCACTTCACTTGTTCACATGCCATACTGATATTCCAAACTTCCTTGTGTAGTCAGGAAACAGCGAAGAATGAAGGCAATATTGCACCAAAATTTACAGCACAACTTTCTACTTTTTTTGCTTATTGTGGATATGGAAACACACTCAAGGTGCCTGTATTTGAATATGTATATATTCATACAAGGTCCCCCTGGTGGCTCAGCATGTTAAAACGCTGAGCTGCTGAACTTGCTGACCAAAAGGTTGGCGGTTCGAATCCAGATAGCAGGGTGAACTCCCGCTGTTAGCCCCAGCTTCTGCCAACCTAGCAGTTTGAAAACATGCAAATGTGACTAGATCAGTAGGTACCGCTTCTGCAGAAGGGTAATGATGCTCCATGCAGTAATGCTGACCATATGACCTTGGAGGTGTCTATGGACAACGCTGGCTCTTCGGCTTAGAAATGGAAATGAGCACCACCCCCCAGAGTCAGACACGAGTATACGTAATACCAAGGAGTAACCTTTATCTTTACTATATTTGTGCAAGTTCATATTGTTGAGGCAAGAAATAAAAAGGTGTCCCCAACATTTTGGGGCCTCTGAGAAAGTCCTATTTCAAAGTGGCTGCTATGGAGAACTACAATATAGCAGTACTTAAGATATGACAAATCCCCGATTTCAAAGAATGTGGAATTAGTGACTCCAAAAGCAAGCAGGTTGTTGAAGAACTTTGGTTAGAAGGCAGGAGGAAGACATGAACCCTTAAAAAAAACATTACTTTGAATCCTTCAAGTACTTTCTCCAAAAATTGCCTTATATATACATGTGCACCATTTCTTATCCTTACCCAAATAATCCTTGCTTTGTTTTTTCTTCTACCCGCCGTGATGTGCCTTGTCATCTTCCACCAATTGCTACCTTGCCTTCTCATATCTTCTCTCAGTTCATATGCTCTTCTTCTAATAGTATCCATTCTTCCCTCCTCCTGTCTTTTCTGAATCTAATGACAAATCTCAAGTAGTTGGTGGGACTGAGCAGACAGTTCGGATGAGTGTGAACAGAAAAGTGGAGCTTGACAGTCATTTAATTTACAGCCCAGCTATGAGGGCAGCGGAGAGCCTGGATCTCATGGTGCTTTGACATTGGATTCTAGTCGGCCACATATAGATGAATATGGATGAATGTCAGTTATTGATGAAACAACTGAATATACCAGGAAGGATGATATAACTAATGGAACTGGTGTCAGGCAATCATCTGGTGAAAGGACACTTTAATTTCATGAGATATCACTGATGTCTGACTTTTCCTTCACAGACGAGCTCACCTCCGCCTGTGCCTAGAACGTTTAAAAGTCCTGATACCGTTGGGACCTGACTGCACCAGACACACGACCCTGGGGCTGCTTAACAAAGCCAAAGCACATATCAAGGTAACAAAAAATTCCCATCTTGCCAGTCTTTTCTAGTACCTGTCAATTGGCATGTTTGTGCTTGCGTTTCAAGCATCCGGAAGGCATCATTGTGCTATGCTGCTGAATTAAGGAGCCATAACTACCCTGCTTTGTAGAGTTTGTATCATGCTGTTACTGTAATCTGACTGCATAAGATAGCTGCCTTATTTGGGTCCATAAGTAAATCTGATAACTATAAAGTATCAGTGCTGAAATTCTTACCCTTTAATTTTACAGAAATCTTTTACTCGTGACATTTTCCATAAAATGTAATATTGTGTTGTTAAACATTTTTATGGCCGGATTCACTGGGTTGCTGTGAGTTTTCCAGGCTGTATGGCCATGTTTCAGAAGCATTATCACCTGACATTTTACCACATTTATGGTAGGCATCCTCAGAGGTTGTTGGAAATGAGACAAGTGGGATTTATATATCTGTGAAATGTCCAGGGTGGGAGAAAGAACTCTTGTCTGTTGGAGGTAAGTGTGAATGTTGCAAAATCAGGACAGTAAATGAAGAACAACACTCAGAAAACAGAGGAATTCTAAACAAAAAACTATCAGGGCCAGCTAACACCTCCCAACAAAGAATCCCCCCAGACAGGAAGCAGCCAGGTTTTGAAGCTGCCAGGCTATTCAATGCTTATCAAGCTGGACAATTGCGACATTCGCACTTGCCTCCAACAGACAAGAGTTCTTTCTCCCACCTTGGACATTCCACAGATATAGAAATGTGACTTGCCCAGTTTCCAACAGACCTCACAATCTCTGAGGATTCCTGCCATAGATGTGAGCAAAATGTTGGGAGATAATGCTTCTGGAACATGGCCATACAGCCCAGAAAACTCACAGCAACCCAAATGTAATATTAATATTCTACCTAGAATTTTTTCATCAATGACATTAAATGGAGCACTTTGTTAAAGACTCTTCATTTTGCAAACTATTTAGTTCAATCCAACAGAAAAATACTTATTTTGCAAAGCCCATTTTCTTTTTGTTTTTTTTTAGATTGCTCCCATTGCATTCCTGTTGTCTTAAAATATCCAATATTTTAAAATAAAGAGACATTATCATTATATTTCACACTAGACCAGGCATGGGCAAACTTCGATCCTCCAGATGCTTTGGATCTCAACTCCTACAATTCCTAACAGCCTGTCAGCTGTTAGCAATTATGGGAGTTAGTCCAAAACACTTGGGAGGCCTGAAGTTTGTCCATGCCTGCACTAGACCCTTGCTTCTGTGCAAAGGATGTAGGCTGAGGTCTTTTTTCTTTTCCTTAGCTCATTTTTTCCATTTCCCTGATATTTTAATTCAGATATTTCATTAACTATGACCAGGATTTGAAATTACCGCAACGTTGGTAATGGAGTGCTTAATTTTAATGTTTTAATTGCCCTTCAAATTTGCGATTGAAATTTTGATTATCTATGGATTTGATTAATCTGTTCTCTCTGGCAATCTCTAGATCTTCTAGGTTGATTCTTTGATCAGCTTTTGGCAGAAATTGATCATAGAGTTGTCCAAGGGGATCTAGGGATTCATACAGAGGTGTTCCTTCAGGTTTACAAAAACTGTTTGTTTCTGTAGTGCAGAGATCCTGTATGCCTAACACAGCAAAAGTTAAGGGTCTATTGTAAACATAATACATAATATATAATATATGAACAAGAGAATTAAATTGTGTGGAATAATATACCTTGCTGGTGGTGTGATTTGGAAATTGTTCCTCTCAGGGACCTTATGTAGAACACTGAGTTTACATTGGATATTTTTGATGGAAGAATTGGAACTAAGTAGTTAATTTTTTGAGGATGTTTATTTGGCAATTTCATTTTGAAATCAGTATAAAACAAATGTTGCAACCAAGATTCCTACACCATATTAAGGAGGGACAAATTTGCTCAAATTAATATAAGGAGTAGGAGGGGCAACAGTTGTGGTGTTGGGTGATACCTGTTCAGGCCTAGTTCAGTTCACAAAGACTGTGTAAAAGAAGCTGCTTTTTATCAAGTCTTTTTCTAGTCACCTGTTCCGAATCTATAGAGTAATATGTATGAATCCACATAAACCAAGAAAGGATGCTTTGGGAATGTGGTCAATTTGCATGGATTAACTGTTTAGATTATGCTTTAAAAATAATGGAATGGCTTGAGCATTGGGCTATGCTTGGGTTTGAATCCTTGCTTAGCCATGGTGAGTCACACTCTCTCAGCCTCAGAGGAAGGCAATGGCAAGCCTCTTCTAAAAACGTATTGCAAAGAAAACCCTGGTGTGGGTTCGCTTTAGCATGACTAGAGGTCATAAACAACTAGAAGGGACACAGCAGCAATGACAATATATGAAAACTGATGGCCAGGATACAAAATGTAAAGCTGCAATGGGAGAGCAAGTGCCATAGTCCATTGCAAAAGACAAGGGAGCCAGACTGTTTATCGCAGCCCAGCAGCAGGTGCCCCGTCTGCAGCATTTCTGACTCGTCTCCTGGCGGCTGGATTTCACAAAGGGTTAGTGCCAGGCTCACAGGGATCAGGATGTGCTTAAACACACTGGAACAGCTCAAGCTTAGCAAGGGAGGGGAACCCTGCTTGTTTAAATGGACGGCATTAGCCTGAGATGACTTTGGAGTTATGCAACATGCTGGCCATCAGGAAGCCCTGTGCATTGGCCTGGTAAGATTTCCCAGCTGCGATCAAAGGAGTCTGCAGCAGATTACATAAACCCCAGCTCAAACGGGAAACTGCTTTGAAGAAATACCTAATAAACCAAATTGACACGGGTGTTCCAATCTTTTTATTCCTGATGCCTTTTCCATGTAAATAATCTGAACGAGGTCTGCAAGTTTCTAGGTTAGGAAATGATGGGAGGGAACTGGCAAGTGCGTCTCATGTTAATTAAGCACTTCACTCAAGCTCCCCTTGACTTTCCCCATCTTTTTGTTTTGTTTTGTTACGAAAATCCTGTCCGAGGCACATGCAATTGTTTTGGAAGGGGGAAGGGAGGGTGCCACTGGCAGGTTGATATGGTGCCACAGTGGGAGCAGAGATTTGTTTCAGATGTTAGTAAATGAGCAGGGATTTTTTTTCTCAAATCAAAGCCTAAGGGGCCACGCAGAAAAATTGCTAAGGAAATCCTGAAAGCAAAAGGTGACTGGGCTGTGCTTTTGTCCTGGCAGAAACTTGAAGATGCAGACCGGAAAAGCCAGCACCAGCTTGAGAACCTGGAAAGAGAGCAGAGGTTCTTAAAGCGGAGATTGGAGCAGCTGCAGGGCACTCAGGACATTGAGCGAATACGAATGGACAGCACTGGATCAACCATTTCCTCAGATCGCTCTGATTCAGAGCGGGGTCGGTATTGGTTGTGTGGTCTTGATGTTATCATAATTGTGTTAAGTTAAGCAAGCAAATGTTTCACTCTTCTATCCAGCCAGTCCTTCTTCTCACCATAGACTCTGGCCCCTTCCACACTGCCCCTATATCCCAGGATCTCATCTCAGATTATCTGATTTAAAAGGAACCATGGTGGCGCAATGGGTTGTGCCGGCTAGGTTGCTGACCTGAAGGTTGCTGGTTCAAATCCGTGAGATGGGGTGAGCTCCTGTCTGTCAGCTCTAGCTCACAGGGACATGAGAGAAGCCTCCCAGCTAACACATCTGGGCGTCCCCTGGGCAATGTCTCTGTAGACAGTCAATTCTCTCACACTTGAAGTGATTTGCAGTATGTTCTCAAGTCACTTCTGACACTATAAAAAATCTGCTTAAACTGGATTATATGAGTCTCCACCTGGGATAAACCAATAATCTGAGATCAGATCCTGGGATATAGGGACAGTGTGGAAAGGGCCCCTGAGTGCCTTTTCTTTGATTAAATATTGCTGTTCATTGCTAGCATTTCCCCTTAACTATATTCACAGGTGGAGTCAGGTAAGGATGGCTTCACGGGTCACCAGAATTTAGAAAAGTTATTCTTTCGGGCTACAAATCCCAGAATCCCTCAAGCGCTGTTGTCCAAAATCCATGCCGCTCAGCTACAGCACCACATTTGTTTAATACTACCTTTTGATTCTCTAACCTGAGACAGAGGGTGCTTCCAAACATAACTAAACTAAAACTACAACTATAGTTAACAAAACTATACTGAAAACTCTACAAGTATATCACACAATACAAAGATACAAAAAGGTTGGAAAGACAATGACTTTCCAGCTAATGCTTATAGTGTTCTACCACTCTTTCCTTTAGCTATATACCTTAACTTTCTACATATTATTTAATCCTATTATTCTTCAAATCCTCATATTGATAATCCCCCATCAATGTTCTCTTTCAAAAACAATCCAAATACTTACTGGTTCTCAGTCTTTATTGAAATCATGTATGACCTTAATTAAAGTCACGTTTGTCAATTTCCGAAAAATCACACAACATTGCCTCAAAAGGTAGTGTAGAAATATTTGATTAATATAGTAATAAAAGCATGAATTTGCACCTTCATTGTAGCTGTAAGGGGCCATAAAGCCCATCTTACAAATCTCTGAAACTTATGTGTTACAGCCCACTTTGGGCGTAACTGGCACCAAAGTTGTTTAAAAAGGAAAGAGATGCACTAATGGTTTTATGCAAGAAAGACATTTACAACTCCTATCATGTGGCACATTGTGGGACTGGGAAACTGCTTGGCCAGTTAACACAATTAAACCTGACCCTTCTTTTTGAATAAAATCTATCATGTAAATATGGGATCTTTTGGAATGATAAACAGGATTGTAAAGCACCACGACCCAAATAATTATGTACGTGCAGGTACAAAAAGTAGTAATTGCTGAGGGTGGAGAGATGAATGAGCAGAAGATAAATTCCTGATGTTTTGAGATGAAATGTTGATCAGAAGTTGATCTTGTTCAACCTGAAATAGCTTGATTAATTCATTATTCTAGGCTGTATTTTCACACCTGATACAACTCATTAGTTTTGCTCCAATTTTTGCTTGCTTTAGCAACCTTCATGAATACTTAGATGGTATGGTGTTCAAGATCTAGATTTTTTTTATATACCTGGCTAAACATTCTAATTTTGCATTGATACTGGGGCTAGTCCTTTCTTCTACAGTATGTGTGGGGTTTTTTTTAACTGCTTGAGTCAGTCTCTGATTCAAGTGGTCCACCGGCCAACTTCGTTATAATGTCCTACAGTTGACCCTAGTGTTTCATGATTTCTGTCCTCAACCAGCTTTGCCTTGGCAAATGCTATATCTGAAACCCAAATGGTTGCAATAGGTTTAGTGAATTAAGCAAGGATATTTTAATTGACTTGGATGGCCATCTGTTTGGGGTGCTTTGAATGCGGTTTTCCTGCTTCTTGGCAGGTGGTTGGACTGGATGGCCCACGAGGTCTCTTCCAACTCAGTGATTCTATGATTCTTGTGCTGATTATTTAAAGCACTGAATGTTTTACAGTGTACGTAATGTTTGTAAAGTACAGTTTGCAGCAAAGGTTTTCCATGTGGATTGGGAAAAGACAACCTCTATTTTCTCCAATGGCAGTAGTCCAAATTTGGAATATTGTTCTGACCACAATCAATTTAATTCAAGGCAAGGCTACTCTATATGGATATTCAGCCTTGTGTGCGCCACTGAAAGTAGTAATCCAGTCAAGAGCCTTCCAATTGATGTGACTAAATATGCTCCAAGCAGTCTAAATAATGTCTGCCTTTCTCTTGCCAAGAGCAGAGGTAGGAACCATGCTGCCCGACTTACATCTGCAAGTTGACTATACTGTAGTCCCAACAGTTTCTTGGAGGGCTATACAGTTTTCACTTCTGCTCTAGAATCTACAATAATAACTTATGTTAATAATAACTTTCCTGGCTTCTGTTGCATTATAAGATCTTGTTAGGAAATGTTCCCTCCCTCTTTGATATGGAGGATCTTGTCCCATTATGTACGTAACTAGCATGGCTGAGATCTTTATTGTCTCCCACCTCCATCTATGCCACCGGTGTATGCATGGGGCCCCTAGTGTGGGTTAGTGGGGACAACCCATCCAGTATTTTTCCCCACAGTAGATATTGACCTGAAGTCTTCTGTCCCATCATGAGATCTTGACATATTCTGCCATTAAAACCTCCTGATTTGGCACCAACAACATTAGACTAACGCTGCCCACTTGTCTTTTTTTGCAGAAGAAATCGAAGTGGATGTGGAAAGCACAGAGTTCTCCCATGGAGATGTGGATGATATCAGCACAACCAGTACAAGTGACATTGATGACCACAGCAGCTTGCAGAGCATTGGGAGTGATGAGGGTTACTCCAGCGCTAGCGTCAAGCTCTCCTTCACTTCCTAGAGCATGGTGCTAGGGGCAGTACAGCTGGTTTCTTTGGGGCAATTGACGTTCACCTGGCAGAGCTCTTAAGACACAGTATTTTTCTTCTCCAAACCACACTTCAACAGCTAAGCTTGGAAAGATGCAACTTTAGAATAGCACCATGGGTCCACAAGAGGGTGGGAACCTAATTGGATAGCCAACCAATATCTACACTGTCACAGTCCTGAAATCCTGACTTAGTGCTGAGCTCATAGCTATTCTGAAGTCAGAGACAGCACTCCAGTTGTGTACTGCTGGACTGAGATTAGCCCATGTATAATGGATAGCTTTGCTCAGAGATTATTTCATTGGACATGGGATCTTGGCTATTGGATTCTTAAATTGTCAAAACTTCTTTCTTGATTTGTCACAGCTCCTGAGAAATTATCCCCACAGTGGCCCGTTTTTCCATTCTCCCATGGAAATGGTGCTAGTAAGAAAGAAGTTTGTCCAGTTATCTATAATAGAGCACACATGGGATAGCTGTGTGTCTGTTCCACATTTTGGGACAAAAGTAGCCAAGGTGATCATAGTTTATTGGATCAGCCTCTCCCGATGAGTTTGCACAATATCCTGAACTACAGAGCTCCAGGCTCTTTAAAATGCTGTCTTGCAATTTAAGCATTTTCTTTTCTTTAAGAAAACTATGAAGTTGGACAGTTTTTGTGTACTCTCACCAGCAGAAGCTAGTCCAATCAGCGCCTTCTACCCTTTGGGTTTCTCCAACCAACTTTGATCTGTACGTACCTAAGAAATAACAGTAAAAGTGAAAAGCTCTGCTCATGCCCTGTGAAAAGAGGTGCTGCAGATCTGGAAGCAATTCTCATTCAGTACAACTTTCTGCTGGACATTGTTTCAAGGCAAGAGCTTGGGCCGCATGATTTTAGCACTAGAGTATTGAGCTGTAAAATACCAGCACGACCAGCTCTCTGGATTCAATGGCTACAGCAGCTAACTCCTTACTAGAATGATGCTCCTGATGCAGAGGCAGACAGACAGAAGCCGGTGAAAGATGGAGATGATGATGAAGATGATGATGATGGGGATGCGCAGGAAAGGCACAGCCTCCATTCTGAGCCACAATGATCTTTTCTTCTTCGTTTTTTTCTTTTGCAAATTATTTTGATAAATGTTTGTAAAAGTTGTTTGGGTGAGAGAACCTACATGCGACAATGTCTTTTTAGAACTCCGAGGCATGATTCTGCAAATGTCTTTTATAATTGACACCAACCAATGGAAAGGAACCTGCTTTTCTGCTGCCAGGCACAAAAGAAACGGGGACTCTCCTCAGGCTCGATGGCTCTTCCTTTTGGTTTCCTTTCTGGACTTCCTTTCCCATTTGGATCCTTCCCATAGTCTTGGATCCAGTTAACACATAGCACGCGTCTCATTGTAACAGCCGGCCAGCACTTGGTCCCCAGTGGGGTATCTTCACTCCCATCTGAGAGGAACGCTTGCTCTTGTCTTGCTGTTAACAAGAAAAAGATTGTATCCAATGTTTTTATCATATTTTTTTCCCTTCGAGATGAGCTTTCTAACCTGCACTTTGAGGTCTTTGCTTTTCCTTTAAGCTTTTTAACCACAAGGATTCTTATTAATGTTCCTTTACCACATTTAAACTTTACTGTTTCATATTTTTAGAGACCTCATTTATGACACTTGTTTGAAACTTTTAAGTAATTTGTCTACCCTTCCCCCCATTATTAAGGGACGAAAAAAGAAAAAAAAGAAAAATGCTTTATAAAATTCATAACTTATTGCTGATTATAATTACTGGGTTGTTAATTTCAGTCCTGTAGATTTTTAATTTTATTGTTTTTAGATAGGGCTGGGCAACAAAAATTTAAAAAGACAAAATAATTAAAAAAAACAAGGTAACCTCATTTAGCTGTGCAGTGGAATTGTGTTTAAATGTTGGCATATGGTTCTGCTTATAGTAGCACTTTAACACCATTAAACATTTCTGTATTTGAAATGCACTGTGTTCTGCCATTTTGGTCACTCATGAGACTTTAGAATACCTATGTTATTTGTGCCTGGAATTATTATTTTTAAACTAATTATTTGCCATGTGATTAGATGACCCCAAAGGACTTCTCACATAGATCTTGTCTCAATACTGATACGCTGTGTATGCTTGAAACCCACATATGTTATCCATTCAGCCCAAAGCTATTATTGTGTTATATAATAACAAGACACAAGTTTAGAACCTGTTTCGTGAAATAGAACCATAATATCTCCAGGGCTATATCCTAGTTGGGGTTTTAATTTTACTGTTCATTAAAGCCTGGATCCAGTTGTTATTATACATCAATCTCCCCCTGTGACTGTGTAACACTCTGGTTTGCTGCATGCGGTAATCTCTCCCTCTAGCGGTGGGTGGGACTAAGAGCTCATTAGTTGTAGTGAATGGGAGATAAAACTTTCAACTGAACCAATAGGAACTATTTTTTATGGTATTGAGGTCTGCTTGGCCCATAAATCTGCATGCGTGAAGCAATTGTGCCTTAGCACAATTCTATGGGGCAGACTCTCTGATGAAAACTCAAACAAAATAAGTAGCATTGACTCACATTAGCATCCATAGTTAATTTCACGTTTCACAAAATCAGCCAATGTGAATGTGATTCGAACTGGCTTGTGAGTCAGGAGAGGACCCCGCACGCTCATATCGCAAAAGCACATGTTCTGTAAATAAAAGCAGTTGTAGATGAGCAAGGTAAAAAGCTTTCTCAGGATCAACAATTCTGTGCTATATTGGATCATGTTCTGGTTCAGTTCTTCACTCTGTATTAAAAGTATGTGTTTTAAGTTTATGGGAGGGTGGAATAAGAAGTGTGAGAACTTGGGAAGTTATTTCTTCAGAAGGCAGGCTAGCTAGGACAGGCTAGCTAGGGGCATCTGGGAACTATAGTCCAAAACACCTTCTGAGATCTAAACCAAATTCAACACCCTTCATACCTTTTACTTTATGATGAACATAATAGGATTGTTAACATATGAACTGCTGCATTTTTCAATAAGCTATCAATCGGTATCAATCAGGACCAAACTCTATGGGTGGCATGCTACCCATTCTGGGAAGAAATGTATCAGTGCAATGTACATTGAGTAGTGTTTTCTGTAGCAAATTAATGCTAGTTTAGTGCCTGAAAGTAGATCAAGCTTCTTTATAGCACATAAGAGGTGTTTTGCTTGATGAAATCATGTCCCTCATATTCTGTTCTTCCAAGTGTTGATAATTATGAAAACAGCTTGTGATTTTGTATGCTTCTCACACTTGGGATAATTTTATTCCATTTCATCCCTGTACAAAAACATGAATGGTTGTTTCTACAGCAATCATGCATCTTTTCTTTGGCATAAGTCCTACTATGTTCAGTAGGGCTTTCTCGCAGATCAGTGGACATAGCTTTGTGGCCTTGTGGCAAATGTCATGCCAGGTTAAATGCCTTTTGCTTCTAAAATGCAAATACTCTTCACTGCAAGCAGTGGGAATGGGGAGAAAGGCTGGAACAGGATGCCACCAAGCAGACCAGAGAGAGGAAATTGCATTTCCTCCACAAATTATAGTCCTGAGAAAAATCCCCCACCTGAAGGTAGCATTTGCCTTGGTGTAAAATTCCCCATTGGTGCAAGCTTCAAAACTGTGTATGCATCTTGATTTCAACAAACTCAGATGTACCGCCAGATCTTCATTCATGGGAGACGCATGCTCTAAAGGCTGAGAGTTGTAAACCTATAATGAATCCATAATACCATAGATACATGATTGGAAATGAGATGAACTGGACCAGAATATTTTGCATGTAAATCATGCACTCAGTTTTGGAGCTGAAAATGCTTCTCCCAGTTTCCCTTCTAAATCTGAAAGAAGAAACTGTATATTCCGTCATTGTATACTCAGGGGCACATTTTCCTCTCTGTCATGAGTGAAGCCACTGGATTGCATTTTACCTTAATCTCGTACCCCGTGACAGAGCACTTCTGATTCCCCAATAGTATGACTTATGCTAATGGCATTGGGTTAATACAGACCATAACATGCAATGAACTGTAACTCAAGATCCTCAGAAACACAATCATCCTTGAGTCATCATTTTCATTTCGATCTTCATGCACTGAGGAGTTAGAAAAGTCTGTGATTTTAATATACATGTACTTTTTTCATACTGCACAACAACTGAATACTGGGACTGATTACTAATGTTAAGGGAAGCAATGAAACAATCATTAAGGCAGCTTCAAGGAGCAGGGACATCAGGAACCATGGTCCCTTCTCAAACCAAACCTTAGGAAACTCTGTTAGAAAGAAGTAGCAATAGTTGGTGTCACTTTTCTCATTTTTTCACTTGACCAGAAACCTGTCCATCATCATACTGCTCTGGGTTGTACACCTGATAGGACAGTGTGCACAGGTTCCTTTAATGTATGTAATGGTTGAACAATTAATAGAGAAGAAACAATGGAAAAAAATTATCAATGTTTCTTTGGAATGGTCTACTTTTCTTCTCTGCAGTGAAAATGCTCATAAAAATCTCATTGTCTCATAATGAAGGCTATGCAGTACTAGTACAGTTGGTCCAACGGCAGGGTATTATTATTATTATTTAAAAAATTAAGAAATCTAAAGGTTCTTTTAAAAAAGGGGGAATGTGTGTATGCTTATTAATAAACAGGGTAACAGACCGAAGTAACTGAAGTTACAGCACTCACGCCACACCTAAGCATTAAGTTAGCCACTCATGGTAACTTTGTTACACTCACAATCCACTACTATGTATTTCTGATACATCTAGCATTCACATAGTTACCATCTCTCCTCACAGCACTTCTTTATACATAATACAATTTATGTTTCACAGCATTAAAAGCTTCCATTGAATATGGTAGATCCTGCTTCCCTGAAAGAAAGCAAACCGGGACAGAGATTTCAGGGCCTAGTCATATGATTGCTGGACAGAGAAAAGGGCAAAGAGATCCTTCCCTAGTCAAACCGTCAACCCAACTTTTAAGCAAACAAAGATTTCTTGCAAAGATAGTAAGAAGCTAGAAGGAACATGTGCAGGATTTTGTACTGGATACTACCATCAAACCTCCTTCATTCATGCATCATCCTTTACTATCTCTCCCATATTCTCTACATGTGACATATTTGCAGGGAAGGTAAATACTGAACAGTGAATAATCAGGATGAAGCCCAACGACTGCAGTTGGCCCAAAGGATGCCTATCTTTATTTAGCGTGATGGAAGGTCCTTCTCCCTCAAGGGGCTTTTTCGACTAAATTCAGTTATAAAGGCTGCTGCAAAAATGACTTCATATAAGAAACAAAATTAAAATCTACAAGATATGGCCAGCACAGAATGGCTGAACCGCAATAAATCAAACAGGAAGTACTGTTTCTAGAGCACACTGCAAGCCACAGTTTTAGAACCAAGACATCACTTTGTAATTGTTTCAACACACAGCAAAATTATGTATTTCGGGAAGCTAAAGGTCTGCTTTTCTACAGCCTTTCATACACTGGCTTCAGGTGAATTGCTGTGGAAGCAAAATATTTCTTCTGTATTAGAGAAGCTTTTTTTGTGTCAGGAGTGACTTGAGAAACTGCAAGTCACTTCTGGTGTGAGAGAATTGGCCGTCCAGACGTTGTCCAGGGGATGCTTGGATGTTTTATGTTTTACCATCCTTGTGGGAGGTTTCTTTCATGTCCCTGAATAGGGAGCTGGAGCTGACGGGGAGCTTAACCTGCTCTCCTCAGATTTGAACCGCTGGCCTATTGGTCAGTGGTCCTGCCGACACAAGGGTTTAACCCAGTGGTTCTAACCTGGGGTCCCCAGATGTTTTTGGGTTTCAACTCCCAGAAATCCTAACAGCTGGTAAACTGACTGGGATTTCTGGGAGTTGTAGGCAAAAAACATCTGGGGACCCGAGATTGAGAACCACTGGTAACCCATTGTGCCACCAGGGGCTCCATCAGAGAAGCTAAAATTGCCAGTGAGAAGGGGCAGTTTTGACACAGAATGGATATGTTTATCACAGGTTAGCAGGATTTTTTCCTTGGCTACAAGAGATTAAACAGTATCTGAATGAAGTACTTGCCAAGTACAGCAATGAAACACCTGGAATGTATAAAATGCCTTAGCCATTATTTTTTAAAAAAGTAATCAAATTTTAACCCAAATAGTCCAGATTGAGTGCTTCTCTGGAGACTTTTCTGATGTTGCTTATGTTGAGATAAGCTATTGCCCCAATTCAGCATGTGACATGCTACATGGATTGACTTGTTTCAAGCTCAGAAAAAGCAGCTTCATTTTTCTATTATTTCACCAGCCCAAGTGTCACATTATGTAGCTCTTGGATTTTAAAAGTTTACAGTCTTGCTAAACTTTAGTATATACACATGCATCCTGCACAAGAAGAATGCAAAAATTCTGGCATGGCAACTTAGCTTGTTGATCCCATTCCTTGTCTTCTGAAGCTTCTTTTACTTTGCTATTTTAACAGAAAGGAATTACTGAAATTGCAAGTTAACTTTCATATGACTTAATTTTGCAGCTATTAGTTATACTCCAACTTAAAATGCAGCTATTATATTCTGGTGTAAAATAAATTTGTTGCAGATTTTTAGACACAGTAAGTACATTTTGTTTCTTTTATTGCATTAGCCAATATCTGATGCACAAACTAGATATGTGCCATTATCATTTTCCCCAGCTATAAAGAAAAAAATCTATCAGTAATATTTCAGCCTTCACTAAATTATGGATTTTCCTTTGCGATTTGTATATTAAATGGGAAACCGAATGTACAGTGCTATGTTTCTATATAGTTGACTGTACCAATCAAAGCATGCAATTCCAAGTCAAACTATCCTTTGGCACATATTTTCAAATATGTACATAGCTTGGCACGAGCTTATTTTTAATAATTTCTCAGATCACTTCTGTGTTTTTTTTCCTGAAATGTGGTGCAGTTACTATATTGGTGCTGTAGCCAACTGCTACTTTGAAAAAGTGAAAGATAACAAAACAAAAAGTTCTAACTAATCTCTGACTGGTGCTCAGATTGACTAGTACCAGTCTTTAAAAAAAAAATGAACTGTTGAAATGCTGACCAGAGCTCTATCTGTAATGATGCAGGGATGGTGCTGACAAAGATATTGCATTTTTCATCACTGTAAACATTCTTCTTTTGTTTGTGGCCATCTATATTTACTTGTTTAAAATATACAAATAAATTTTATGAAATTTTACTTCTAGTAAGACTGTTATCTTCCTCTTGTCCCACATCTTAAATCTAAACTGCCAAAGAAGTTGCCACAAATACCACTATGTGCTGAACACAGGTTGTATTGCTGGCTCCATCTTCGAAGGGTGCAGTAGTATATTCCTTCTGTATTGGAATTTCTATGTGTTCTGCATTTTTAAGAGCTGCAATCCAATTTTTCAAAGTGGAGCACATGCTTCTGCAGGGAATGCAGAGGGCTCTTCTTGGCAGACACTCTTCCTCGTGAGAACTGCACCTATAATGGATCTAAAGAACTACTTTTGAAGCAAAATGAAGGGCATACATACTGTGGTTTTTGACTGTACTTTTTCCACTTTCCTTTGGAATATTCAATCACATTCTGAAATGTGATCACATGCTTTTGAAATGTGATTCAATTTCAATATTAATTGTCTCATACACAACATACTTTTAAAAATACACATAAAACTTGATGTAACTTTTATTTGGGCACTTCCTCCACTGAATTCTGGTCCTGCCTGTTATTCAACAGGAAGTTCGGTTTTATCTGTTAATTAAATTATAAATTTTCCTTATGGTTTTTTTCCCCTCAGAAACTCAAAATATAGTCAAACTAATTTCAGAACATGTGCAGCAAAACCTCCAGATAAGAGTTTGATAGCCCTTAAGCCAAATTTGGCTGAAGAATTTTTAAAATAACTGACCATACATAGGTAAAGGATTTCACCTGACATTATGTCCAGTCGTGTCCAACTCTGGGAGTTGGTGCTCATCTCCATCTCTAAGCCGAAGAGCCAGCGTTGTCCGTAGACACTCCCATGGTACCTATAGATCTACTAACATTTGCATGTTTTTGAATGGCTAGATCGGTAGAAGTTGGGGCAAACAGCGGGAGCTCATGCTGCTCCCCAGATTCGAACCTGCGACCTTTTGGTCTGCAAGTTCAGCAAATTCCTGTTTCTTATGGCTTCCATGATTTTTTGACAATGTCATTTCAGATGAGTCCAGTTCAAAAAAATTTACATTTTCATTTTGGGAGGACATAGCCAAGAGGTTTTGAACACTTTATTTTAATAAAAGTCAAACATACAAAACTGAAATCAACACAGTAATAAAAATTACCTCCTCTTTTCATTGACAGGAAGTCCTTCTCTCTGGATGTATTCTAGCCTACTAAAAACAAATTTTAGACTCGGGTAAACTGACAGACATGTTCACTAATCTGTGCATCAACGAATCCTGATGGTACCTGATCTTGTTTTAACTCCAAAAACCAAATTACAAAAGCCAACTACAGTCTAACATAATATACATGGGGAAACGGAGTTCAGATTAATGAGCAAGAATTACTCTAGTAGAAGAAAGAATGAAATCCAGTCTTGTTCATTAACTTAACACCATATTTTACAAAAATAATTATCTACATTGCATACAGGGCTATACATTAACTTTTTGCTTCAAACACATTTCAAGAGTGAGAGATGGCACTACCACCCTAAGCGATACATACTGGCAAAGGGAAGCAACGGCATCCACAAGATACAAAACGGCCAGAACTTTGTACACATGGTTTCCAAAATAAAAATCAAAGTGGCCCAGCAATACTAATGAAGTCAAAGTTTGCAATTCTTATGAGGGGAACGTCTTGATGCAGTTAACCAGCTGGATATACAATAAAATTGGTTCAGCACGTTATGTGTAAAATTTCTGTATATTTATCAGTTATATTAATGTATCAAATAGCTCAATTCTTCCATGGAAATAACTACTTCTCTGTGTGAAATTTAACTTCCAACATCTAAAGTGCTAGCCTATCTTGGAAAATAACAAACAACTCTTACTCAGCCCATGGTTACATTATGAGCATAATATAAGGTTCTGCTGAGATACACGTAAGCACATTTCCCAGCCTGAGACTGAAAAAAACTCACTTTCTGTTCTCTGAAATCTCCCAAAAGGGAGGGTGTCAAGACCTTGTATGGAATTTAGAATGTGCAAGTGAATGAGATTTCCTTCAGCACTTCTCCATACTTTCAAAGGGCAGGCCTAGCCTTATCCTTGGGAAGCAGCAAGAAAGAGATACTGGTGTCTTACAAATCCCTCCAAAATTTATGTGAGTTCTAGATCTCTCTACTCTTTTACCAACCTGTGGTCATACTTTGCACTGGCTTTGGAAAGACAGTTATTACGTTTTGTTGCCTTTTCAGCATCTCTGAGTTGCGACATAAAAGCAATGAGGCTCTCCTCTCAATGCTTTCTGGTCTGACAGTAAAAGAGAGGAATGGGGCAAACTCCTGCAGCGGAACCAACACCAGGACTCTTCTGAAATCGAGCATGACTTCACACCAATCTTTTATCTTTAGGAAAGCAATAGAATTAATGGCAAGGAAAACTAGTTCAAACTGGAAGACCCTCCCAATTATAAAAAGGGAGGCTTCTGGCTAGAATCCTATATAGCATAATGCAGCATAGTAATGTCATGAGGAATGAAATAGGGAGGAAAACCAGCTACACAGAGAAGAAGAGTGCTCAGTATTTGTCCATGCTGTAAAGTAATGATTACAAGTACATGAGAAGGGCCAAGAAAGCTGGGATTACTATTTTAATTACACAATAATTTAATTCATGTGAGCGAGGACACTCTAGAAATCAGAGTTGTTGGGTAACACAAAGAGAATGTCCCCATTAGTCTGACTTGTGCATATTCAGTTTGAGAACAGCAAAGGGGTCCTTCTGAACTAACTCCCATTGTTTTAACTTAAGGCTTGTACCAGCATAAGCCAACTGATGGCAATGACCATTTTCACTACGCACCGTGTTTACTTTTAGAAAAATATAACAATAAAAAGGTAAATGTAAAGCCCTGCAGAGGTGATGTTTAGTCATTTCTCCCCTCAATTACTGTGGCATCAAATGTCTGACATTGTACTTGGATGTATCTTGGTACTGCGTCATGGGCTTGTCTGCAATTCCACAGGTCCCAACTCCAACTTTCCCTGTTACACTCTCAGGAGATGCAAAGATGCTCCGCTTTACCTGTGAAACGAATGTTAAAAAGCCATTTGTAGATATTTTTAGATATCATGAAATCAGAAAGCACTATTACTAATTGTACAGATGGGGTAATTTTAAAAAGTAAAAAATTGTTCATTTTTATCCTACATTAAACAATAATAAGTTATCTTCATACTGCAGATTGTGTAACATTGATCTAAACATTATGTTGTAATAAATATGTCACAACCTTTATAAATCTGAACTTTTAATTTTACAACTAGTATCCCAATTTATCTCCCACACATCAGGCCAGTAACAACGTTTCCTGTCTTTCCTTTACTTTCTACCTCCAAAAGAGAATAGGAAAGGGAGGAAAGGGCAGGGACGGGCCTTGGGGAGAACCCCTCCATCCTGGCCAGTCTATCCAGCTCCGGCCTGCCATGTGGCCCCCAAGTTAGAAAGTTTGCTCATGCCTGCTCTACAGTGACTATACTTTCACAATACAAAGCCATAGCATACACATACCTGTCCCTTTTTGTTTTTTGAGTAAGCTCTGTTGTTGAATTGTTGCCATTTGACTTTTTGATCCTCTCGCTCCTGCTCCAGCTCTTTGATGCGCTGGGCCTTTTTCAAGGCTTTCTTCTTTTTATATTCTCGTTGTTGAGCAATCATTTCTTTCCTAAAAGACAAATGGCACTGATTGTTACTTATGTACCTCATTATGTTGTATCTCCTTTGCTTTAACTTCATTATTGCTCTCAGAACATGTAGACAAAAGCAAGAATGCACTGATTAAGAGAGTCTCACCTTGGGCTAGGTGAATGTAAAGATAAACTCTCAGTACAATGGAGTTTCAGCTGTCCAGGCCCATTTCATTCTCCAGCTGTAGAAAGTGCTGCCATTCCTTCTGTAAAGCAATCTGTGCACTGCAAGTTTCAATAAAGCACAGGAATCCTACTTTCATGCACTATAAAGAACAAAGGCTGTCTTTTAAGAATTGTAGCTAATCTTTTTGCTAAACACAGAACACTAAAATGTAACTCAAGAGTTTATCCAATAGAAGTGCACTACAGTCAGAGTGCAGTTACGAAGATAAAACAAAGGTACTGTCTTTAATTAGTCTCATTAATGCTGATCATGCATTAAAGTTAACAGCACAAAAATGATATAATTTTCATCAGAATCCCAATCCATAATTTAGGTGCTACACATTCACAGTAGCAAGTAAATTCTGGAATGGTTAAAATGAAGTTAAGTAGAATTCTCTACCCTGGGCCTCCAAAAATGGACAGCCAAGCTAATATTCTAAACTCCACTCTAACTGGATAGATGGAAAAATAGCAAACCTGCAACTCTTTATCAGATCTGCAAGAACTATGCAGAACATGACACAAGAAAATAGAAGAACACAGATTTTTTAATTGCTGTAAAATTATCCCTGGGGGAGACAATTCATCAGCAATGGCAGCCTAGGCACGGAATTTTCTTTATACCATACCACTGAATGCTGAATGTTAATTTCAGCCACTTACTTGGACATGGGCTTGTTGCCATTGTCTTCTTTTGCTTTCCTTCCCTCTTCCACAGGTTTCAGATTGAGCAGAGGTGTGACTTCCGCATTACCATATCCCGAAAAGGTGATGGCAGCTGTACCATTCTCTTCATCTATCTCTTCAATTTCCGCTTCATAACACCTGTAAAGATATCATGGCTGTAAGCATGTGAGTAAAGGTTTAAGACTCAGCCCTAGAAAACTTGCAGCAATTAATATCATGCTTTAGGACATTTCTGTTCAATTTTGTACTGGCATCTCATGTCAGCCTTAGACATGCATTCTCCCTTGCTTTCTAAAACAATAGCCAAATGCCAAGTATATACATAACACAAAATGCTGGTGATCTTACAAGTTAAAGAGCTCATAAACTGCATTCCCTTTCAAATTTTTGGCAAGATAAAGAATTTTCTCTGTCTTTTTAAAAGAATATAGCCAATTATATTTTTTTATGTATTTACTGCATTTTCATTCTGTGTATTGTTTTCTTCTTATACATGCAATTCTGACTACAGCCTTATATAAAAGTATATGGGAATAAGCTTCATGGAACACAAAGGAAATTTACTTCTAAGGCGACAGATACTGTCCATCTGTAATTTGACACCTGATCCGCACTTCCCATATAATCTATTTCTGAAAAGAAATAATGCAGTGCAAACACTAAGGAAGCATTTAGAAGAACATGTATTACTGGTAAACGTGTTCTGCAAGTGACACTAAAAGACTACAGCTATTATCTAATATCTTAACCACATCATTCAATGTAGATAATATATCAATTTAAAAAGGTATATGTGTTCACAAGTGGTCAGCCTAAATGTAGGTATAGAACTTCAGGCATCCCAAAGGCCTAAATAATATATAATATTAGAACAGAGACTGCACCTTTGTATTTCATTTCCCAAATTATCCAAGGTGGGGGGTAGGCGTGGCACAAATCCCACAGTCCTAAGAGGAAGTCCCTGACAATGACACCAGCTCAAATGAGCTACCCCTAGGTCTTGCAGAAAAATTGTGCTAGTTGACACCTTAGCTCTCTGTTCTGCCAGCACAGCATACCCATTACGATGACTCTGAGAAATTTGTTATGTTAGAAAGCATTCAAACTGTAGTCCCTACTCTTCCTAAAGTAAGTACATACAGCGAAGACTGGTATTTCCTCTTGTGTCAGAAAAGCCTGTCATGAGTCCAGTCCATATCAATGTCAAAGATGTTCTTTGCTTCCTTCACTATACTTATTTCCTCTCTAGTTTTATGGTACCCCATCATTCTGCATAACCCCAAAAAGGCCTCAAGCTTTTATAAGCAAGTGGCTTTCCTATTTTCTTCCTTTTCCAAATTAGTGCTGAAATGCATATACAGTTGGCTCTCTATATTCATGGATTTGATAATATTTGCCTTATTTTTTAAATCCAAAAAGCAAACCTTGATTTGGCCATTTTGTAAGGGGACACTATCTTAACTATATCACTGAATAGTACTTGAGCATTCATAGATTTTGGTATCCACAGAGTCCTGGAAACAAATCCAATGGATATTATAGACCCACGGTACATAATTTTACTTATTGGATATCTATATAGAATAGGAAATTTAAAAGGACATGAGAAGCCAAATTATATTTCACAAAATGTATGCGAAACTTTACAAAATTCAATAAATTTTACACCCAATAAATATTCTTTGAAATTTTAAATGTAAAATCTCTCAAACCAAGGGTGATATGTTATTGGAATGCAATTCCCAACAGCCCTAGCCTTCAGTCAATTGGGGGAAAATGCTAGGATTTGCAGTCCAACAACGTATGCATTGCATAATTTCTTCAACTACCACACTTCCCAAGTTAGTCCTCACCAGGATGCACATAGGTAGGGTATAAACTAAGTCGAAATGTCTTACCATGGAACTGTATTATTTCATGTAACAGTTACAGAAGTTTGTTTTCTACACTTACTGTCCATCTTCACTCCATGTGGCCATACATCTGTCACCAACTTTCCAAGTGTGACTTGGGGGAGCTGAAGCAGAACTATCAGAACTTGCAAGCGTTTCTGAAGGTTGTGTTGAAAGGAGATCTTTGGTTAGTTCTATCACTTCCTGGGAGAAGAAAAAAGGAGAGAAATCTTCACATACTGCTACCCACCCCATTAACGTCTTTTCCCAACTGCAACGGTATTATAAAGGGTGGCAAACTGAACAACAAATGAACTCATTTGTACTTGTCATCTTAGCAAATCTCTCATATAGCTCCTGAACTGACATCCATAGTACTGTAACACAATTTCAAGGAGGTCAGCAGGAACTAACATTGAAACAGGGACATTTCCTAATTGCTGAGTTCTGCAGTTTTAATTATATTTATATTTGCTAGAGATGTATAATTTCCAGAGCTTCTGAAACCACAAGAGGAAAAAAAAACTTTTTTATTTTTTACATAAATATTTGGAAAAATTGAAAATACACAGTATAAACTCTGTTTACTATTCAACATCATTTTGTTAGTTTAGGGGATCTGTAATTCAGCTTGTTGTGTATAATCTGGTTAGTTACAATTAAAAGATTTAGCTGTGTCAGTTTGGATCAGTATGCAAAGGGATTTTGTGGCACCTGAGATAAGTTAAGGCGCATCTACATTATTGAATGCAATTTGATACCAGTTTAACGGCAATGGATCAATGCTATAAAATCATGAGAATTGAAGATTTGCAAGGTCATTAACCTTCTCTGCCAAAGACTGCTAGTACCTCACCAAATCCAAGATTCTATAGCATTGGGTCATAGCAGTTAAAGTGGTGTCAAACTGCTGTAATTGTACACTGGAGATGTACCCTAACTTGGTAGTGTAACCTTTTGTAGAATTAAACCTTCCTCATCAGATGTACCTTCATGATTATGAATGAGCAGGGAGCATGTGTGGATAGTAACAAAACTTGTGACTTGTGGTGATGAGTTGACAAATTCTGTTTTAACATTGATTGCTGGGGGTTAAGAGCAAGAAGAAAGATGCTGGTTGAAACCAAAGTGAATGGTAAAGGCGGGTTTCTGGAATGTGATACTGGCTGGGAATGGGAAAGGAGATGTGATAAATTGATCAAGAGACTCCTCGTGAAGCTGCAATGTTAATTAGTGTTACAATATGTGGAGTGTGCCACTATATATATTATTTACATTTTAATATTGACACCTGAAAAAGCTAGATATGGCATAGCACCATTTTAAAAGTGGCAATTGAGTTACCACTTTTTAGTATCCCCAAGATGTCAATCCTGACAAGGTAGAAAGCCTTCTTCACTATGTGAGAAAATATGAATATTGCAAAGTTGTATATTTTGAATTCTCACCTGTAAATCCTTCTTTAGTTTTAGTAGGTCTTCATTATCTCCATTCCCAGTCAAAGCAGCTTCCACTTGCTGGAGCTGAGCTTTATAGCTAGCTAGCTGTTTTGCAAGATCTTCCGACATCTACAAATAGGAAAGATAATTCCAGAATCAGATATCATAAGACGGTTTGAATGAAACTGTCTTATGAAAGTAACATTTAGAACTTAAATGACTTAGTCATTTACTAAGAATTCTGCCACAAGTGTCTAAGTATTCATCCATTAAATAAAGCAAATGTGATTAACAATCATAGTAGTGAGCCTCAAAGAACACAGTATTCTTGAAACAATAATATTAAACGATATATTATTATGAGGTCTTTCTTATGCCACTCTCAACATGTTGCTATCTCAATAACTTTGAAGAGAATTATTTAAAAAATTTTGTATCTTTTATCAGAATTCCCAAAGAGTGCTGGAGCAAGAATAGGTAACCTAGGGCTCTAGATCAGGCATGGGCAAACTTTGATCCTCCAGGTGTTTTGGACTTCAACTAACACAATTCCTAACAGTGCAAGTTGAAGTCCAAAACACCTGGAGAGCTGAATTTTGCTAATGCCTGAATAGGAAAACAGTAACTATTTATTTTGAGATATGCTGTAGGAGAAATGTTATTTGGGGAGTAGAGGGAACATTCAAAATATTTCCTCTGAGGAAATGAGGCTTTCAAAATTTTTATATATATCTCCACCAATTTTTGAACCAGGAGTAAACTTGGAAATCCAGGTTCATTTCAGGTTAAACCAGATTAATCTGAGGTCTTGTTTGGACACCTCAGTCCCAAATATGTGGTTCTAAAATACATGTTTTGCTTATATGTTATTTTGGGGTGCTGGCCACACATAAATATGTTGTTCTGATGTGAGATTCCCAATAAATTGTTTGATATATGGTCCAAGGTACAAGATTCTCATCTTTTGATACAATTTACAATCAAATAATATGTGTGCTATAGCCCCAATTTCAGGTGCCCTGCAGATACAACTCCATTCATTATAAGGGATACTGTTAAAAGCTTTCATTTGTCTATTTTTAAAGCCTCCTATTCTGATTTGAAGCCAAAGGACTTCACTATAATGTTATTCTGTTGTTTCATACATTGTACAGTGTCCTGTTAGTCCTAGACTGGCTTATAAATTGACACATCAACGTTTTACACACAAACGCTCATTTATAGTTATGTGTTCAGAAAAGGGTCAATTCTGAGTAAACATGCCCCTGTCACAATGCTTAGTTCTCTGCAAGCATTTTAGTCACTGTATCCTTCTACGCCTTGCATTGGACAGCCAGATCCATTGTTGGGTTCTGGCCAAATATTTCTTTTGGCATTCGCTCCTATCAGAAAATCACCGAAATTAATGGATTGATCAGGCTAAATCCAATATTAGTCCTGACCACAGTAGACCCACTGAGATTGGGTCAATAAATTCCACTTCTCTCAACACAAGGATGAAGTAAAAAGTGTTGGATCTCTATGAGTAAATTGAGGTATACACCCAAGCCATAATTTGTCTTTAAAAACTTAATATCCAGACATAATCCAAAGTTTCAGGACTGTATTAGTTACTAGTGACAGGCCTGGACCCAATGCGCTTACTCAACACAAGTCTCATTTTGGGAGAAAAGTAAAGTACAGATAAAATAAATAGAAACAAAGGTTTGCTTATTTATCCCTTCCCCTGGAAAATGTTCAAGCCATGGATAGTTGAGTCTATGGATACTGAGGGAATTAATTTTACATGATCTATGCTGTAGAATTAATTCCGCTTGACACCACTTTAGTTGTCGTTCACTGAGGCACCAGCACTCTTTGGGAGAGGAGAAAGCCCTTGTAAAACTACCATTCTTGGGATTCCATAGTATTGAGCCATGGTAATCAAAGTAGTATCAAGTTGTGTTAATTATACAATGTAGATGGACTATAAAAAGCTCTTGACAGACCAGGATACGATATGGCTATTCGTTTGTTAACCACAGTAGAACCATGCACACAATCCCTCAACATTATTAACACAGGGAAAAGGAGATATCTAACTGTTCCTGCATATATATTTAGATCACGTTCTTACACAGAGGTTGCATTTCTCACATGGTCTTCAAAAACAATTTTTCACAGTATGATGTTATGCTATACAGTAGTAGTAATAATAATAATCATAAATTTTATTTGTATTCTGCTTTTTTCACTGAATGGGACCCAAAGTGGCTCACAGCACTTTAAAAACAGTACAAATAACAAACACATAAAATAAAACAATCTATGACATAAATAAACATTCTAAAATTGTTTTATAATTACTATTATTGCATGAGACAACACTTTGTACTTTCCCCAGAAATCAACCTGAATGATTTTAATATAGCTGTGATAAGATCACACCTAGATGTCCCTGTAACCTGTCTGACTGCCATATTTTGAACTAATTGGAGTTTCCAAAGTAGCCTAATGCACAGTGCATTATAGAAGTCCAACTACAGGTTACCAGCCTGTTTTTGTTCCATTTTTAGGAAGGGTAGCAACTTGCATATCAATCAAAAATAATAAACACTCCTGATTGTTGCATCTATCTGGGCTGACATTTGGAGACTAAGTCTAAAAACAGCAATGAAAGTGGTATTCCAATGATAGCCTTGAAAGCTGTGTCAATGTCTCACTTTACAACAGGGGTCCTCAAACTTTTTAAACAGAGGCCAGGTCACAGTCCTTTAAACTGTTGGAGGGCTGGATTATAATTTGGAAAAAAAATAGAATGAATTCCTATGCACACTGCACATATCTTAATTGTAGTGCAAAAAAAGCCACTTAAAAACAATACAATAATTAAAATGAAGAACAATTTTAACAAATATAAAATTATTAGTATTTCAATGTGGAGTGTGGGTCTACTTTTGGGTGCTGAGATGTATTTATCTGTTTGTTTGTTTAACATATTTATATACCACCCCTCTCAGCCCGAAGGCGACTTGAGGTGGTTTACAGTTGGCAGTCAATGCCCCCAAACAACATAAAACACAGTTTAAAACATTACATATAATATAAACCATATAAAGGTAATAAAACAATAAAAACCATACAACACAAGTCATCAGTGTCTCGTCACAAAAATCATTTTTTCCGTTCTTGTTGTTGTTGTGTGCTTTCAAGTCGTTTCAGACTTAGGTTGACCCTGAGCGAGGGCCAGTTTGAGGACCCCTGCTTTACAACCTCAGACCTATTCTAAGGCCCCTTCTACACTGTAATGTCCAGATTACCTGTTTTGAACTGGATTGTATGGCAGTGTAGACTCATATAATCCAGTTCAAAACAGATAATGTGGATTATCTGCTTTGATATTCTGGGTTATATGGCTGTGTGGAAGGGGCCCCACATTATCAGCTTTGAACTGGATAATATGGCAGTGTAGAACCCTCTTCAAATCAGATAATGCGTATAACTACCTTTAATAATCTGGATTATATGGCAGTGTAGAAGAGGGATAAACTGTTCCTTGGGAAATAAGGGACTCTAGCAGGTTAATATCAATAATAAACAACTTTCACAACAATGATTTGGGGTTGGAAAGAAAGTAAGATGGTTTCAGGCAATGCCATGCAATCTTTTGAAGCGTTATCCTCAAGCAACAGTGATAAAAACCATGTAAGAAAATAATAATAATGACATGCTAGAAATCACAAAAAGATATTGTTTTTGTCTGTTAAGATGGTCTGGCGGCAACAACAACAACAAAACAGCTTGACAAAATGTCGGCCTGTAACTCTCACATCCTCCTTTTTTTCCCGCCCTCTTCCTGTATGGTTGTAGCACTGGTGAGGCCTGATAAAGGCAGTACATCCTACAGAAAGGAAGAATCAGGATTGGGATGTATAGATGTGTGTGTGTATATATAATATCAAGAGGGAAAGAAAAAAATAAAGAATGCAAGAAAGGAGGAGCGCAAGGGCCTGCAGGCCACAGAGAAGCAGCTGAGGCGCCTCTCACAAAGGAAGGCCGAGAGCGAGGGAGGGAACTGCGAGGAAGGAGAGAGATTATCAGGCCCGGACCGGACGACCTTGGCGGCACAACAGACCCGTGGAAACCCGGCCAGGCCGCCCCCCGCTTTCGCTCACCTTGGCCTCAGGCGCGGAGGAGGGCCTCTCGACGCCGGAAAGCTGCCTTGCCTGCCTGCCTGCCTGCGCACGGCACGCTACGTTACGTTACGTACGAGCGCTTCCCTTTCCTGAAGGGCGCCTTAGCGACGACGCACGTAAGCCCCGCCCCCCGTCGCCGGAAATGAGCGCTCTCGCGAGAGGTGGCCGAGGGGAGGCGGGATGAGAGAGAGAGAGAGATCTCGCGCCGTCACGTGGTGTGTGTTTGTATACAAGAGCGCGCGTGCTTCCCTTTCTTCCGCTTCTGAACCATAAAAGTTCCCCCTTCTTTCTTTTTTCCTTCCCTTTTTTTTCTGTCCCCCTTCCCCTTGGAGCCCCCGGTGGCGCAGTGGGTTAAACCGCTGAGCTGCTGAACTTGCTGGTTGAAAGGTCGCAGGTTCGAATCCGGGGAGCGGCATGAGCCCCAGCTTCTGCCCACCTAGCAGTTCGAAAACATGCAAATGTGAGTAGATCAATAGGTATTGCTCCCGCGGGAAGGTAACGGCGCACTATGCAATCATGCCGGCCACACGATCTTGGAGGAGTCTACGGACAGCGCCGGCTCTTCGGCTTAGAAATGGAAATGAGCACTAACCCCCAGAGTTGGACATGACTAGAGTAAAAGTCAGGGGAAAACCTTGGTAATAGTATGATAGCTGAGTCCGGAAGCTCCGAGTGTTTAGGTTAGAGTACGGGTTAGGGTAAGGTTTAGGTGCCATATCGCTCCTTTAGGAGCGCTGCTTACGCAAGAGGAACTTATCTAATGTAAGCCAGGCCGGAGACAGATAATATAGAAGGGGAATGTAAGAATTCTTTAACAGAGAAACCCTAACCCTTACTTTAACCCTGAACTGTACCCTAACCCAAACCCTAAACCTTACCCTAACCCGTACACTAACCTAAACCTTACACTAACCCAAACCCTAAACCTTACCCTAACCCATACTCTAGCCTAAACCCTAAACCTTACCCTAACCCGTACGCAAACCCTAAACCTTACCCTAACCCGTACTCTAACCTAAACCCTAAACCTTACCCTAACCCGTACTCTAATCCAAACCCTAAACCTTACCCTAACCCGTACTCTAACCTAAACCTTACTCTAACCCAAACCCTAAACCTTACCCAAACCATACTCTAACCCAAACCCTAAACCTTACCCTAACCCGTACTCTAGCCTAAACCCTAAACCTTACCCTAACCCGTACTCTAACCCAAACCCTAAACCTTACCCTAACCCGTACTCTAACCTAAACCCTAAACCTTACCCTAACCCGTACTCTAGCCTAAACCCTAAACCTTACCCTAACCCAAACCCTAAACCTTACCCTAACCCGTACTCTAACCTAAACCCTAAACCTTACCCTAACCCGTACTCTAGCCTAAACCCTAAACCTTACCCTAACCCAAACCCTAAACCTTACCCTAACCCGTACTCTAACCCAAACCCTAAACCTTACCCTAACCTGTACTCTAACCTAAATCCTAAACCTTACCCTAACCCGTACTCTAGCCTAAATCCTAAACCTTACCCTAACCTGTACTCTAACCCAAACCCTAAACCTTACCCTACCCCGTACTCTAACCTAAACCTTACCCTAACCCAAACCCTAAACCTTACCCTAATCCGTATTCTAACCTAAACCCTAAACCTTACTCTAACCCGTATGCTAACCCAAACCCTAAACCTTACCCTAACCCGTACTCTAACCCAAACCCCAAACCTTGCCCTAACCCGTACTCTAACCCTAAACCTTACCCTAACCCGTATGCTAACCCAAACCCTAAACCTTACCCTAACCCGTACTCTAACCCAAACCCTAAACCTTACCCTAACCTGTACTGTAACCTAAACCCTAAACCTTACCCAGTTTGAGGGACCATTAAAAATTGGGAGGGGAGTTGACTTTTTTTTTAGTGAATCACAAATAATAGTTCCATAACATAAAATGATTTAAATAGTATAGTTCATTCTATACTTTTATATAGATTTAATTAAATCAAATTTCTATTTTAGTTAGAAAGTTTCGAGTCTTAAAATAACGGAAAATGACTGTTAATTGGTAATGTATAGTTACAAAAGAATACTACAACGTCTGCTGGAAACATTTGAAAAGTGTGTCAATACACTTTGACAGAAATCAGGCTCCATTGATAAACTTCGGTCCAATCAATCTTTCTTGCCCCATTTGCTGCTTATGTATGTTTTCAAACATTTAAGAGTTGAAAACAATCGATATATAGGGAATCGTAGTATCTGGAAAGTGGGGAGGGGGGGGGGAGCAAGGGGAAAAAGGTCTATTAGGAACCTGCCTCCTACCTCAAGCTGTTGCAAAGAGCACAGCAGGGGYACAGAGCAGCCTTAAATAGCCTGCAGCTCCTCCCCTGTCAACCACCCTCACCAGGTCTGGTCTCCTTCAAGAGGGCCTTCAAATCCTGCCCCCCCCCCCCCCAATGCCTTAGGCTTTGSTTGCCATTTATGGGTGTCCCAACTTGGTTGTTTCCACTATATTGGCTATTGCTGCAAGTAARGGCATGTGAGTAAACTCAAAATTTGCTTGAGATAGTACTTGCAGTTCTGGAGGGGCTCGTTTATTTGCTTCCCATAGACTTAGCATGGGAATTTGGTTAACCAATTAAAATTCATATGTAAAAACCAGGGTGGTTTTTTAACCTGAAAAATTATCATCGGGATAAAGTAAGATTTTAGATTGTGACTTGTTGCTCTACTATGCAACCATGATATTGTACATATTGTACCTGTTGAAATTTAATAAAAAAGCTTAAAATCTCCATCCAATGGAACTCCAAGAGTTTATAGTTTTGTAATGAGTAGTAGGAATTAAGCTCTGGTGCATAATCCTGAGATAAATAAGAAAATATGAAGTAATCATCAAAGTGCATGTCACAGGATTCTTTAGGCTGGGGCCATGATAGTTAAAAAGATATAATGTGGATATGATGAGTGATTTCAGCTATCCACTAAAGATTGGTGTTTGGAATTTGGCACACTTCACTACTCCGAAGGTCAGATTAAACCAAACTAGGCAACAAGAAGTTTGTTCTTTTGGAGGTCAGAATAGAGTCTGCACTCAAAGAACTGACCTATCCCAATCCAAAATATAGAACATTTGTACTCTTTTGACAACTATTCATAACACCCACAGTCCAGTGATTGGTCCTCCTGGTGGCCGGAAATTTAAGGAGCTGTCATTCATTGGTTTGAAGTGTGGGTCCTTTTAAAGGTCCGCCCCCAAGGGATATGTAGACCTTCAGAATGAGGTGTGAAAATATGGAAAAATGGTTAATATATCGGGTTAATTCCTCAGTCCAGTTTATAAACAGTGTCCCGTGAACACAATGGTCAGTTATGTTGATGTAACGGCTCAATGGAAGATATACACTGGCAATCTGTGTGCCCATCCCCAGGAGCAGATAACTCTGAATCCTATCAATAAGCTGGAAAAACCCTACATGATGGTATTAGCTTCACAATGAATGGGAAACCAGACATAAACAGACATATTATTTAACAGGTACACAAACAGACATATTATTTAACGTATTAATTTCATCCAGGACTTATGCACTGGATCAAATAAGCACACATCTCCCTACACATCATCAGTGAACACAGTTATATTTTTATCTATGAACATATTACCATGTAAGAATTATGAATGAAGTTGTATAGAGTTTATGAATCAATCTCAAGAGAGTACACAGACAGATTTAGTAGTGAAGAAAATCCCTTTTAAATGGCTCTTAAACATTCAGGGAAAATACCAGTCTGGGGGTTGGGAATCGTAGAAGCATTTCCCATGGAGCCTTTCCTTGAGGCGATCCACTCATTCACAGGGCAATATGTTAATGTCTCTGAGATGTGCAAGTCAGCCTTCCATGACCTTCTGGCAAGGAAACTAGTCCAATGTGGGCTAGGCAAAACTACAGTGAGGTGGATCTGTAATTGGTTAAATGGACGAACCCAGAGGGTGCTCACCAATGCTTCCTCTTCATCCTGGAAAGAAGTGACGAGTGGAGTGCCGCAGGGTTCCGCCCTGGGCCCGGTCCTGTTCAACATCTTTATTAATGACTTAGATGAAGGGTTAGAAGGCATGATCATCAAGTTTGCAGACGACACCAAATTGGGAGGGATAGCCAATACTCCAGAGGACAGGAGCAGGATTCAAAACGATCTTAACAGATTAGAGAGATGAGCCAAAAATTTCATTTTTTCTGACAAATGCAAGATACTCCACTTAGGCAGAAAAAACGAAATGCAAAGATACAGAATGGGGGACAATGCCTGGCTTGACAGCAGTACGTGTGAAAAAGATCTTGGAGTCCTCGTGGACAACAAGTTAAACATGAGCCAACAATGTGATGTGGCGGCAAAAAAAGCCAATGGGATTTTGGCCTGCATCAATAGGACCATAGTGTCTAGATCTAGGGAAGTAATGCTACCCCTCTATTCTGTTTTGGTTAGACCACATCTGGAATATTGTGTCCAGTTCTGGGCACCACAATTCAAGAGAGATATTGACAAGCTGGAATGTGTCCAGAGGAGAGTGACTAAAATGATAAAAAGGTCTGGAGAACAAGCCCTATGAGGAGCGGCTTAAGGAGCTGGGCATGTTTAGCCTGAAGAAGAGAAGGCTGAGAGGAGATATGATAGCCATGTATAAATATGTGAGAGGAAGCCACAGGGAGGAGGGAGCAAGCTTGTTTTCTGCTTCCCTGGAGACTAGGACGCGGAACAATGGCTTCAAACTACAAGAGAGGAGATTCCATCTGATCATGAGGAAGAACTTCCTGACTGTGAGAGCCGTTCAGCAGTGGAACTCTCTGCCCCGGAGTGTGGTGGAGGCTCCTTCTTTGGAAGCTTTTAAACAGAGGCTGGATGGCCATCTGTCAGGGGTGATTTGAATGCAAATTCCTGCTTCTTGGCAGGGGGTTGAACTGGATGGCCCATGAGGTCTCTTCCAACTCTTTGATTCTATGATTCTATGATGGTAAATGAAAGTAGGAAAAAGGATGGCAAAAGGGGTAACCACTTTCTTGGAATTGCAAAGTTGTATAAAAATTAAAATAAAATAAAAATAAGACCATGAGTCAATCTTTTAGGAGCCTGGTCCAATTTCTCGATAACAGATTTAACGTAGTCCCATTATAAAATTCTTCATTTTACTTTCCATTGTGGTGCAGTTTTCTCCATTTCTCCAGGTTCCCCATCCTGGTTCCTTAATCCATTCTGTTCAGGAGGCTCCAGTCCCACTAACAAGGCTTTAAAGAGAGAAGGGGAACAGAAAACCTAGCTTACATATCTTTTTGCTTGTAACATAGAGTTCGTTGTTGCTGTTACTATTTTCTGGACTGAGTAATTATATTTGTTGTATTTCAGAGTTGTATATTCTCATCACTCCAATACCAGAAGAATAAAGCTCTTTTGGAGGGAAATAAATG